CTCTGGTGTGCAGCGAAAGCAGGAAGATGAAAGAGCCCCCAAATTCCTGTGTAGCACCTAGGGCCCTTGAGAAATGCACTGCTTGTGTTCAGGAGGGTATAGGAATGGTTTCTGACATTCTGCAGAGGCCATAGGGAGGTGGAGTTTGGGCTCTGCCTTAGCCTACTCTGCTTTTTAGGCATGGAGACCATAAGAAGGGACATTCCATACCGCACCTGCCTAAAGCACAGTGCCTCCCAGTGCAGCATCTAGAACAGTGTAACTTTGCACTGACCCTACATCTTCCCTAGCCAGTGCCGTAGCAACGAAGTTCGGTGCCCAGGGTTAAGCCTGCAGCGACAGCCCGCCCTCACCGCGTGCACAGATCCAGGGGGCACATGCCTCCATGCTTGCCTGGGAGTGCACACAGAGGTAGGAGCCGCCCTTCCCCTGTCCTTGTGCCCCACCAAATAAGTCGCTCATGGCTCCGTCCCATGTCCCACCCCAGCGCCTGTTGGTGCTCCTTTGCTTAATGCCTGGGGTGGTCGCCCTGCTCACCCCCCTCCTTGCTATGGCACTGTCCCTAGCCCACCATTTCTTCAAACTTACTGTATGGAGTAAGGTGAATAGTACCTTACTGCAGAATCAAGCCTTCTGCTATTCAGCAAGAAAGCAAAGCAAAACAAAAAACACTTGTCTACCTATTCAAAGGTTGTGTTAAAAGAGAACTGAGTACCACTACACATACGAGACAACACACTAGAGGATAAAGTGGAGAGACATGACAAATGCTGCATTTTCTCTAGTCATTTACACCGATCCAAGCTGGTGCAAATTTTTTCCAGTGAGTAGTGCATTTTCTCTGTTCAGGTGTAAATGTCTCTACAAGCTGCAAGGAAAGGGAGAATCAAGCTCTTTATTTCTATACATTTGCATATTATTAAAAAACACCAGCAAATGAAAAGGAAACAGTTTAAATAAGAGAGAGGATTCACCAAAAGTTTAATAGGTGGAAACTGACTTCATCTGCCTTCACACCTCTGTTAAGGTTTTTTGTCCACTACCATAAATGTTGGGAATGAAGGATCATGTTCTAATACCATAGTGGTTTTTTTTTTCACCCATTCAGTTTGTAGTAATAACATGTGGTAACAGTCATTTAAAAATGTATGTTCAGTTGATGAAAAAAAATCTAATGCTTGCTGGTATTTTTAATGGCTGGATAATTAAGTGTACTTTGTTTGAAAACACTGAACTAAATTATTCAGTGCAAAAATAGGTTACAGTGCCAGTCAACATAGCGATATTCATCATTACGACTCTACCATAGTGATTATTTGTGTTATTGATAAAACACTTCCAGAATATAATGAAAAGGTTTGCATAATGTAACTGCAACTAAAAGCTGCAATTCTGAAATGGATTTAAAACAAGCTATTTAGACTCAGCAGTACTATCACAGTTTGGCTGTTACAAGACTAAAGACTTGACAGAACCCCTTCAAACAAAATTAGTATAACATCCATTCTATAGTAAAATGAACAGTATAAGGAATGGTTAATAGTCCTGGCTTGGACTTATTTAATCCAGATGTTCTACATAACAATTTTAGAAGGTGCTGTTTTAGAACAAAAAAAAATCCTGTTGAATCATGACTCGGTCTAAAATGTTACTAGGCATAGCTAATGTCAATTAAACTGGGTCAATGATGTATTGAAAACATATGCTATTAGAAATTAGAAATTATGTGGCCTTACATATACCTTTTAACTTTATTTATGCAAATGCATTACATGTCTTGTTCTAACTGCTGATGAAGCTGAAATTTGGGTGCACATTTAACTTGGTGTGACTGACAGACCAGGCATTACTTAGCATTTTTATTTGCCTTCTAAGGAAACATGTCAAATGTTTTCTGAGTCTCCCTACAGCAATGCAGTCAACAAACATTTTCATGTAAATAATTTGCATTATTAGTCTGTTTTAATCTGTTTTAACTTCAGAAGGAATAAAGTACCCTGTTCTTGAATGTTAACATTTTTCACAGTCATTTCAGCATGCTAATTGTCTGCCAATTTCAAAAAAATTACTTAAAAATATAATTATAGACATGTAATATATGCATTGCGTTTAAATTAATACAAAATCCCATATGGTAGAGAACATTCCAAATTATCAATACATTTGTTTAAAATAGATTCTGTCATCTGATCTACAGAAGTATGGGTTGAAACATTAAGCAACTTGCACAGCATTTTTGTGTATTCATCTTACACTAACCTTTACTATGAAAAAGCATTTTACTGGAGACTCTTATAACACGGTGGCTATTTAGAATAAATTAAGGTATTGAGAAATTTCCAACAGATTAAGCCTAGCAAAAATCTTTTCAAATTAGATAGCACTTGCTTTATAATTTAAACTAAGATCCTTAATCTCTGCTCTATACTCCATACAGAGAGGAAACTAAATATGAATTACTTGCAATTATACGTGTTGATTGTAACCATGGGAGTGTAGAGAGGAATCTACAGCAAATGCAAAAGTGCCAAGAGCTAGATTCTGCAAATCTTTCACTGATTAGAACCTAGTCCTACTGATTTCAATGTGCTCCTTCTAAAATACATCTCAGGGTGAGTAAGGGTCACAGATAACCTGCCCTGAAATCTGAGCATGCATTTTGTGAATACGTTGTTTGCCAGACCTGTGGCCAAGCACATGAGAAAAGCAGTGTACAGCCTGAGGCTGAGGATAAATTTCTGCACCAGTGCTGTACAAGATTTGGCCTGAAGTCAGCAAGCTGTAACCAAAACATGAACATGGTCCTTTAGGTGGCATCTTCACTTCTAAACCACTTTCAAAACTCCAGTTGCTATAGCAACCTGATGCCTTCCCCCCCCCCCCCCCCCTTTTCCAAAGGAGATTTTTTTCACGTCATTTCAAAACTTTAATCACCATAACAACCTCATCTGGCTCTTTACAGCATAGCAACTTCTTTTGTTTTTATACTTGATGTTGTGTGTCTGGTATTAATACCGGATCCACTCCCCCCTTCCCCACCCCTTTTATCTCTCTGGAAGTGACAAAAAGCATTGCCCTGAAATCATATGGAAAGAAAGCATCTCAAAGGGAAGATGAACACTTGGAGAGTAAGTGCACCTACAATGGTAGCATAAGAGTGAAATTGTAGCCATGATGGTCCAGAAATTATACAAGAGGTAAGGCTTTCTTAGTATGCTAGCTTTGATAGTTGTCCAATAAAGGATATCTACCCTAAGAAAGCCTTGCCTCCTGCTTCACTCCCTCCCCCTTATTTCAATACAATCAGAGCAGAGAGAAAGAGAGAGGAGAAGTTTAACATCGTTTCAAAGGAACTTTTGCAATACATTGTCTTGCAATGGAAGTTGTCAAGTTCCATAACTAGGTTAGCATAGACATATAGGGAGAGACATCCATTCCTCACTACTCTTCTACTCTGCCTTTGGGCTTCTTGCATTCCCTGCCCCACCCTCCCCGCCATAGATTTTGCACCACAAAGAAAAGGTTTGGAAATCCCATGGTGAGTGGCTAAAGCCCCTGCTTACGCATTACATATATTACACAATTAACTGGTGAATCAGGCAATAAATGCAGACTGGCTACATGTGCAAAGGATGCCAGACCTCGCATGCAAAGTACCAATCACGCAACTACCTGGCAAATTATGCAATAAATGTAGTCCGGCCACACGCACAAAGGAAGCTGGGCCATGTGTGCAAAGTAACAATTACACAACATGTGAATCATGCAATAAATGTAGACCAGACACATGTGCAAAGCAACGGTCACACACTGGTGAACTGAGCAGTAAATGTAGACCAGACGCATGTGAAAAGTAAGTCACACAGCTAAATGGTGAACCACGTAATAAAGGCAGATGAGCCACATGTGCAAAGTAATGCAACTGGTGAATTGCACAGTAAATGTAGACCAGACACATGTGCACAGGAATCCTGGCCACACATGCAAAGTGACAGGCACAATTGGTGAATTGGGCACTAAATGTAGACTGGCCACATGTGCAAAGTAACAATAACACAACTAACTGATGAATTGTGCAATATATGTAGACCCACCATGTGGGCAAAGGGAACCTGGGCCTTGTGTGCAAAGTAACACAACTAGTGAAGTGCGCAATAAATTTAGACCGGACACACAAAGGCAGCCTGGCCACGCGTGCAAAGTAATGGTCACACAACTGCTGAATCAGGCAATAAATGTAGACTGGCCACATGCACAAAGTAACAATCGCACAACTAACTAGTGAATCACGCAATATATGTAGGCTGACCACATGTGCAAAGGAAGCTGGGCTGTATGTGGAAACTAACACAGCTGGTGAACTGTGCAATAAATATAGACTGGACACATGAGCAAAGGAACAATCACACAACTAACTGATGATGACCTGCATAGTGAATGCAGACTGGCCATGTGTGCCAAGGAAGCCTGGCAGTGTGTATAAAGTAACACAACTGCTGAACTGCGCAATAAATGTGGGCTGCACACATGCACGAAGGAACGATCGCACAACTAACTGGTGAGCTGTGCAATAAATGTGGCCCAGACATATGCACAAAGGCACGCTTGCACAGCTAACTGGTGAGCTGCGCAATAAATGCAGACGGGCCACGAGTGCAAAGTGACACAACGGCGGAACCGTGCAATAAAGGTGGACCCGACACATGCACAAAAGAACCATTGCGCAACTCCTGGATGCCCCGCGCAATAAAGGCAGACCGACCGACCGACCACGTGTGCCAAGGAAGTGGGGCCGTGCGTGCAAAGTGAACCCAACTGCTGAACTGCGCAATCAACGCGCGCGCAGAGGAACCATGGCGCAAGTCACTGCAGTGAGCACCCACGGGCCCCCTGCACAGGACAGGACCGCTCCCGCCACCCCGCGGTCCCGCTCTGCGCAGCGCCAGGCAGGCACGGCGTGGGCCCCGCGGGGCGCAGGGGAGCAGCAGCCCGAGACTCACCGATGGTGGAGACGACGGTGGCCACGAAGTAGAAAGCCCCCGGGAAGTCCCAGCGGGGCCGCAGCGCCTCGGCGCGGATGCCGGCGGCCATGGCGGCCTCGTAGCTGCGCAGGAAGGCGCGCAGCTCGGGCAGGCTGATGTTGAAGAGGCGGCTGAAGTCGGTGAGGGTCCGGTTCCAGCGGCGCTGCGCCGCCGCCTCGGACGGGCGCTCCAGCGCCGAGAACACGCTGGCGCCGGCC